CGCTCTCGCTCTCTGACAAATAAATAAATAAATAAATCTTTAAAATAAAATAAAATAAACTTACAGAGTTAAAAAAAGTAGATTGTAAGAATCTCCACATTAATATATTCACTTAATTTTCAATCCATGTAATACCATGTAGGTATTCCTCAAAAAGCAGAAAAACAATTCCTCTGACATTAAAAAACATAAACTCTCATTATCATAACTAAATACTTATAGCAACAATAGAAGAAAACAAAATCTCATGTTTAAAAAAAGCTGATGATATGTACATTATATTTAAATAGGAAATTTTATAAAAATGTATGCCAATCAAATAAAAAGTTAGTTTGGCATCCCTCTAGAAATTTGGATAAGTTATTGCTCATGAACTCTGGGTCTCAAATAAAATAAATTGGACATCAGACAGTAAAAATGAGCACAATTTGAAAAAAGACTCACAGTAAAAATACCATATTATATTTCATCAAGCAACTCTTGCTTGTAGATATCAAGGATCAACTATAGCTTCCACCCGATCGAGGCTACCTGAAAGGATAATAACACAGGTAGTGTCCAGACCTACTTACAACTGGTTCCTTCATCTCCTTACTCATTCATTCGTTCGTTCATTCATTCCCAAAACACGCATTATAACCAACTGGTCTATGACAAGACTGCTACATGCCCACAAGGAGCTCATTTTCCAGAAAGGTAATCCCCCCTAGGGCAAGGGCTATTGGCCGAGGCCACGTTATGCATGGCTTTAACTGTCACGCAAATGAGCTTGAACTGTTGGTCTGGTGGAGTGTTTTAAACCGGAGAGAAACCTGATCTGGTTTATATTTTTAGAAATTCACTGGGTTAGCCCCCTGGAGGTTTGTTTAGAAGCCAAAGACTACAGAGGCTAAGATTGCATAGGAGACTATTAACAGATGAGAAATGATGTCTTTATCTATGCTCTGCTGTCAAAGTCAGGTGAGCAGAGTGAGGAGTCTATTTATAGATGCACAATGTTAGTTCTGGCTAATCAAAGTTTTACTGCAATAAAAATAGATTAGAATATCTACTTTGGGACTTAACCCCGGAAGGTCTCTGCTTTGGATTTTTTTTCTCTTTTGTGAAATGGTTAGAATCGCAGGATTAGGTGATGGTTAGAGGTTACCATGACACAATTTCCAATGTTGAGGGTGGTGAGCAATTGGAGATCCTATTCACGGTGGATGAAGAAGGAAACCAAGAGTGTTCAGGTAAGTTGTAGGCACTTTTTGGGACAGTCTGCAGCATATCTTTAATGAAATGTTTATGGTGTTTTGGTAAAGTAACAGTTTCAATAAAGTTTTTCCTCCTCATGGGGGTGCCTGGGTGGCTCCGTCAGTTAAGCATCTGCCTTTGGTTCATCATGATCCCAAGGTCCTGGGATCAAGCCCCATGCACATCTGGCTCCCTGCTCAGTGGGGAGCCTGCTTCTCTCTCTCCCGCTCCTCCCTACTCATGTTCTCTCTCACTTGCTCTACTCTCTCTCTCAAATAAATAAATAAACCTTAAAAAAAAAAATAAAAGTTTTTCCTCACAACTCACAAAGATTCTTTGCTTGACCAAACTTTAGTCAGGCTCCTGAATCTCCTCTTAGGCCCTTCTGTACACTTCCTTGTAAATTCCAGTGTTAACCAGAACCCTGCTACACCAGTTTAGCAGGAAACCCTGCCCTGGATATCTGATCACTGCGGCTTATCTTCAGCAAGAATCCTGTGAAGTACCTTTAACCAAAATCACCCTTTACACCTGATGCTTCCTTCCCCTTAGTAATTTGCTATACACCAATCCCTATCCTGTTCCTTGGCTATATAGTCCCACTTGCTCACGCTATCTTTGGAGTTGAGTTTAATTCCCTTCTGCAAGACCCCATTTCAGGGTCCGTACACCTACCATCATGGCCCCCCTTGATGCCTTACCGTCTTCATTAAGTGCCACTGAACAATTTTTTTTTTAAACACAAGCAAGAGGATGGACAAGTAAAGATCATATACACAGATGGAAGCTGTTGTCAGGGTGCTAGTTTCTGTGTTGGGTGGTGATTTCTTTTTTTTTTTTTAAGATTTTATTTATTTATTTATAAGAGCGAGAGTGGGGAGGGGCAAAGGGAGAGGGAGAATGGAGAATCTCAAGCAGGCTCCACACCCAGGTCGGAGCCTGATAACAGGGCTTGATCTCCTGACCCTGAGATCATGACCTGAGCCAAAATCAAGAGTTGGCCACTTAACCAACTGAGCTACCCAGGCCCCCTCCATGTTGGGTGGTGATTTCAAGGGCATTTCTTGTATTATTATTATTATCATTAATAGATAGAAGTCCTTACATAGACACGTAATGAGAATTATGATTAATCTCTCTCTGTGACCCCAAAGTCCAGTCTTATAAAAAAAAGAAGAAAAAAAGAGAAAACACCCTCCCTACCACAAGGGAGGGAAGGTAGCTAATGTGGAACAAAGAGGGGGGTTTACCAAATGAGAACCAGAATCTTGGAATCTAGTCTTTCCAAGAATTTTCCCAGTCTTTCCTATGTTACCACGCCTCCTACCTCTCTCTAGAATCCCTCAATTTATTATCTTTCATAAAATCCCTTGATAGCTGTTCAACTTTGGGCTTTAATCTGGAAAACTGGCTCCCTGTTCTTCTTGTATTAGAAAAATATAGTTATTATTACCTATGCATAACGATAATCATATAAAATAATAATAAACACCCTTGAAACTACCATCCAACATGGAAATTAGAGACTTCCCATATGATTTTAACAAATGGAGTATGAAACCACCTCAAATCATTGTGTACTTCTCTTCCTATTGGATGAAGTTCAATCACATATAATTTTAAAGAGCCAACATCACAATAATAAAACATTTTTTAACCTCTCATGTAGAAGAAATCTGGAAGGAGAAGGTCTAGGACTGGTCCAGGAAATGGGACCAGCTTCCCAAGCTGTTCTCTGTGCCAGATCCAGCTGTCAGCCTAGGCAGTCTTTCCTATACTTCCAGACATTCCTAATGACAGACTCCTTGAGAGCAGGACACACATCTCATTCTTATCTCATTCTTATCCATGGTGTTGGCACTATGTCAGAACAATTCTTCTATCAATATTGGCTGTAAAATAGAGGATGGACGGATGCCCTGGTGGATGGAGCGATGCTCAGGTAGATGGATATAAGATTCTAATGGAATTTAATATCTAGTACCAACTATGCTGACATAAGAAAAATTACATAAGCATTTATTGGCTTTACTGCCTTATCTTGTGAATAGACCTTTTAGAATAGGTGTCTGCAAACCAGGCAGTAAATATTTGAGGTTTTGTGAGTCATAAGGTGTCTGTCACAGCTCTTCAACTCACTATGGCAGGAACAGACACATGTAAAGGAATGACCGTGCACCAGTGACGTGAAATTTGGATTTCATATAATTTTCACATGTACCAAAATATTCTTCTTTTTATTTTTTAACCATCCAGTAGTATAAAAACCATTCTTGGGGCACCTGGGTGGCTCAGTTGGTTAACAGACAGCCTTCAGCTTGGGTCGTGATCCCAGGGTCCTGGGATCAAGCCCCAAGTCGGGGTCCCTGCTCCTCCGGGAAGCTGCTTCTCCCTCTCCCTCTGGCTGCCACTCCCCCTGCTTGTGCTCTCCGTCAAATAAATAAATAAAATCTTTAAAAAAAGAATAAAAAACATTCTTAGTTTGTGGGCTGCACAAAATCAGGCAGTGAGCTGTAGTTTGCTAACCCCCGGCCTAGAAAGGCAAGCTGACAGAATTAGAAGCACTAAGAAAGGCAATAAAACTATGAGGTGGAAACCCTAGGAAGCCAGAGTGGAATCTAGCTGGCTTTCATTTTCCTTTGGCTTTCCTTTTTCCTCCCCAGGGTCATTCCACATTGCTTTCCTGGGCTCCTCGGGACTTGTTTTCAACCAATGTGCCCATTTTCTCACACCTCCAGTGTTACATCATTCAGAACAGTATTTGCTTAAAATAGGATTCTGGAAGACCAAAGAACGTTCGAGACCCAAAGTAATAGCTTTCTAATGAAGGGCTTTCGTGCATTGAGAGATGTCATTTCATTTTTTTTTATTTTATTTGACAGAGAGACACAGCAAGAGAGGGAACACAAGCAGGGGGAGTGGGAGAGGGAGAAGCAGGCTTCCCGCAGAGCAGGGAGCCCAATGCGGGGCTCGATCCCAGGACCCTGGGACCACGACCTGAGCCGAAGGCAGACGCCTAACGACTGAGCCACCCAGGCGCCCCGAGAGATGTCATTTCATTAACATGAATAAATCTCTATGCGTCCCCATGATGAAATATCATGCCGGCTTCTATTCCTCTCACAAAAGAAACATGCTTCCTGCTTGCATGACTTGGGGCAGCCCTGAAGGCAGGAACAGATGTACATACCTATGCTGGAACGAGTAGTGATGACCTACCCGAGAGGAAAAAATATTCTGCAGTTCTCATGTGGAGACTGAATTGACTTGAGACCTCACTGCTCTTTTTAGAAGTGCTTAGATTTTAGGTAGTTTCACATTCATGATATGTGAATAAAATAAAGGGTACAGTGTATGACAGATCACATCGTCACATATCACTTAAATGAGCATTTATTATATACTTAGTGAATACTTGGCACTTTGACAATGAGCACTAAGTTATCTCCTTCAGCTCTCACCCAGTTATTTTTGGATCTCTTATTAAACCTCTGTGGCCTGTTAACTAAATGATTTCTGAGAGACGAAGCTCAGAAATGACCTCTCTCAATGCATGAAAGCCCTTCATTAGTAATGAGAGCCACTTTTCAGACATCTGTCTCATGAGTCTCTTCTCCCTTTGCTCAGCTCTCTCTCCTAGACGTTCTGTGCAAAATGTTTAACCTTCTCATGTACAAGAAATCTGGAAGTAGGCGGTCTCATTCTTACCTCATTCTCATCTGTGGTGTTGGCACGACGTCAGAACAATTCTTCAATAAATGTCTGCCAAAATGAAGGGTTGGGGATGGGTACTGAACCACGGAAGCCACTCCCAGGAGACTGACCGGTAAGTGGAAAGAGCCACAGACCTAACTCCCATGCCTGGCTAGGTGACCTGGTTAAACCAAACCTTTCTGATTTTTTAAATAAATGTTTACATTTCTGGCTTTTGGAATAAGGAAGGGTTTGCACTTGGCAATTATCTTCTCAAATCTTTCGCCATTTGCAAATTGGGGATGATAATCTGTCACGTCCAGGAGTGAAGTGACGTTCATAAGGCGCCTGGTATAGGTTGGGTGCGGTAGGGATTTGGGGCGGAAGTGGTGTCGGCTGTTATTTTTATTATGGGCAAAACCAATTCCCTCCAGCGGAGAACACGCTTGCAGGCCGGCTGGGGCTGTGAAAAGCGCAGAGACCTCATCCTTCCAGCATTGCAATTTCCTTAGCCCGGAGCCTGCTTTTCCCTTTCTGCCCATCAGTTGGCGCCTTTTGCCGTCCTTTTTTTCTCTCAAGCTGGTTTTGGGGGCTGCGGTCGCTCCGCAGCTCGCAGGTCACATGGCCTGCCGGAGCAAGGGGACCCGGCGCGGGAGCTGCGCCGCGGGAGGAGGTGAGGCTCCGGCGCGTACCCGAACCGCGCGGCGCCCGCTCCGCCCGGGCCTCGGGGTTGGGCGATGGCCCCTCTGTGGCGATGAGCCAGCCCGCCTAGGCGACACCAGAGGCGGCCCTCGGCGGGCGCGGAGGACAGAACTGACCGCCCCCACCGGGTAGGTTTTCGCTGCGTGCGATCTGCCCAGCCTCTCTGGCATCGCAGCCGGAGCGCGGGGACGAGGATTCCCCGGGCCGCCGCTGGCGCGGGGAGAGCCGCAGCGGGTGCTGGCGTAGCTCCGGAGGGCCTGCGCCCCCGGCCGTGCGCTCTGGGCAGGCGAGCTTCGCTGAGGCCCGGCCCGGGGTGCCGGCCGCTTCCTGCCGGAGGACCGCGGGGACCCCAGAAAGGCGTCCCCCGCGCGGCCCGGGCCGGTGTCAGGGCAGGGATGAATGAGTGTCGCGGCGAGGGCGTCTCTCCACCCCTCGCTCGCTTCGGCTGCGCCGCGAGGCCGACAGGAAGGTGCGAGCCGGGCGCGTGCGAGCCCAGGTAAGACCCTGCTCCTGGCCCGCCTGGCCGGGCCGCACAGCCAAAGGGTGCATTGCCTAATGGCCGCCCGCACGCGGCGAGGGTCCCTCGCGCGTCCGCCCCTCCGGCCAGCCGGGCTCGCCAAAGCGCTGCTGCGGCGTGGGGTTTCTGCGCGCGACCTCGCAGCCCGGGGACCGAGGAAGGGCGACCCGGCAGAGGAAGGCGTCCCTCCCAGCTCCCGGAAAGACCAGCCGAAGGGAGCCAGCGCGGCGAGTGGAACCGTTAGCCTCGACCTACGGGTGGGGAAACTGAGGCCCGAGCGCGATGGGGACTGCCCAAGGTCAGCAGCTGACGCTAGATCCGGGACTGTGGTCTTCCGCTCCTATTCTCTTTCCGCGAGGACTGGAGGGGACCACCCCCCGCTAGTCACATCCTCCTCCTGGCCTCTGGGCGCGGGCGTTGTCGGTGCCGCACTGCGCCCTAAGTGCCCAGGGGCGAGAGCTCCTGCAGGGTGGGTGTGACCCTGGCATCCCCTGCTGGTCCCGGGCTGCCCCCGGGAGAAGCGCAGGGCGGCTCCAATGATGATCTCTCTATGCGGCCCATTAGCAAAACCTGCAAGTGTGTGTGCGTGTGCGAACTGGAGAACTGAACTGGTAAGGGGGATAGCTTTTTTTAGGGGTGCATTTCTAGAGTGCACTGTACCAGGTACTTTGGGAGGTGACAAGAGAAAACTACGTGTGTCTAACACCTAGCCTTATTAAAATTATTAGAATTTTTTGAAGGATTAGCGTATTACAAAGCATTCAGGAAACAAAAATGTAGAGGAGAAAATAAAGATAACTTAAAACTTCATCTAGATTGTTGAGACTTTTTGGATATCGACTTAAAGTTTTCTCTGCATACAAACATCTAAACCAATAAGGTAGACAAAAATAGCATCTTGTTTTAATTTGCACGTCTGATTACCCAGGGGGAGCTAATACCTTTTCCTCTGTGTACTTGCGTTTTGCATTTACAGGGGTGAACGTCTTAATTCTTTTGTCCCGCCCCCACTCTTTTAAAAGTAATTTCTATGCCCAACCTGAGGCTCGAACTCACAACCCCGAGATCACCAGTTGCACACTCCACCGTCTGAGCCAGCCCCTCCTTTGCCCCCTTTTCAATTGGAGTGTCTTTCTGTTCCTGATTTTTAAGCATTCTTTATATATTACGCATTAAAGAAGTAATTCTGTCATTTATGTTGCATAGTCTTTCCCAATCTGCTTGACGGTTTTGTCAGTTTTTCATCTCTGACCGCATAGAAATTTAACTTTTTCATTTAGTCGTGTTTTTTTTTTTAGTGGTTTCTACTTGCGGACCTTGATGAGAAGGAGCTTTCCTAAACCTTTAGGCTTTTCCTAAAATATAGAACTATTCTTCTGTATTTCCTTCAGGCACCTTTAAGCTTTTGTTTGAAAATTTTAATGTGAAATTTATCCTAGCTTAAGTTATAAAGTGGAGAGCTAATTTACTTTTCCTGAAGAGTTAGCTATTAAGTCCACTTTTCACCCCGATTTAAATTGCTTCAGTTATGGTAGATTAAATTATTACATGTTTGTATCTGTGTGGATTTTCGCCTCTATTTATCAATATATTTTGGTGCTGGAGCCATGTTATTTTAATTACTGAAGTTTTATAGTAGGCGTAAGATCTGGTTAGGCAGATTCGCTCTTACTACTCTATATTATCATTTTCCTGGCTCTTAGAAAAATCAATTTTATTGAAGTACGGTTTACATGCAATAAAATACACCATTTAAATGTATATTTTGATGAATTTTATCAAAGGTAACTACCATCACAATAAAAAATTATGAAGTGCTACATAAAATTGATGTTATTATTGTACAGGGGTCCTGCTAATCTTTGATACATCCTCCCAATTTTAGTATATGTGCCAGCAAAGCGAGCATTTCCTAGCATTTTTTATTAGTACTAATTCCAGAAAATCTTTTGAATGCTTTGGTCAAGTTAACTAACCTCTCCCTCCCTGCGCCACCAAAGGAAACAAACAAAATCTTGTCTGGATTTCTTTTTATTTTATTTTATTTTATTTATTTATTTGACAGAGAGATAGAGAGAGAGGACAGGTAGGCAGAGAGGCAGGCCGAGGGAGAGGGAGAAGCAGGCTCTCTGCTGAGCAGGGAGCCCGATGTGGGGCTCGATCCCAGGACCCTGGGATCATGACC